CGCCCCATTACTTTGGACTGTGCAAAAATTGGCCATGTAGGGGCTTCGTCTTTGACTGGCCAATCCGCCATACTGGATATCCATCACTGGCCATATTTTAGAGATAATAGGAATAAACAGCATTTTTCTGCATTGTACACTCTGGCACCAATAACTTTCTTCATAATTCCTAAGTAAACCATCGGAAAAAATTGGCCATTTATCAATAATTGGCCATGTATAGGCTTCGTCATTGACTGGCCAGTGACAGAGTTAGGCATGAAAATACCATTATTTTGGAATTTTAGAGATATTCACAGATCGGAAGGCACTATGTGATTGAGTTTGTGCCAATTCCATCCAAAAATCTGCCCCACCCCCTTTACTGTGGACTGTGCAAAAATTGGCCATGTAGGGGCTTCGTCTTTGACTGGCCAGTCCGTCATATTGGATATTCGTCACTGGCCATATTTGAGAAATTATAGGAATAAAGAGCATTTCTCCCCATTGTACACCTAAATATGTTAGATTGGCATTTCAGGACCTCATTGGCACCAAAAATGTCATTCATATTTCCTTCGCAAACCGTAGGAAAAAAATTGGCCATATATCAAAAATTGGCCATGTAGGGGCTTCGTCATTGACTGGCCAGTGACAGAGTTAGGCATGAAAATACCATTATTTTGGAATTTTAGAGATATTCACAGGTCGGAAGGCACTTTGTGATTGAGTTTGTGGCAATTCCATCCAAAAATCTGCCCCACCCCCATTACTGTGGACTGTGCAAAAGTTGGCCATGTAGGGGCTTCGTCTTTGACTGGCCAGTCCGCTATATTGGATATTCATCACTGGCCATATTTGAGAAATTATAGGAATAAAGAGCATTTCTCCCCATTGTACACCTAAATATGTTAGATTGGCATTTCAGGACCTCACTGGCACCAAAAATGTCATTAATAATTCCATAACATTCCCTAGGAAAACAATGGCCATATATCAAAAATTTGCCATGTAGGGGCTTCCTCATTGACTGGCCAGTGGCAGAGTTAGGCATGAAAATACCATTATTTTGGAATTTTAGAGATATTCACAGGTCGGAAGGCACCATGTGATTGAGTTTGTGCCAATTCCATCCAAAAATCTGTCCCACCCCCTTTACTGTGGACTGTGCAAAAATTGGCCATGTAGGGGCTTCGTCTTTGACTGGCCAGTCCGCCATATTGGATAATCGTCACTGGCCATATTTGAGAAATCATAGGAATAAAGGGCATTTCTCCCTATTGTACACCTAAAGATGTTAGATTGGCATTTCAGGACCTTAATGGCACCAACAATTGCATTTATAATTCCAAAGGAGACCATTAAAAAAATTGGTCATTTTTCATTATCCATATTGGCTATCCGTCACTGACGAAAGAAATGTTGAGAACTATGTAATAATTCTATTCATTACACGACTTTTTAGAGGCTTTATTTGAATAATGAAATAAATTACAAATTTTTCGTTTTTTTGATTTAATTACAACAATTACAATCAATCCAAAAAATTAGTGTATCCATCGGCCACAAAAATTGGCCGGCCACTGAAGTAATGACGAAGTGTCAATTGACATAATAAGCCTAGTTTACGCGATAAGAATGCCCCTTAAATTATTGAACCACTTTAATTAGTATTATTTTTTTTTACCAAGAATAAAACAAATGTAAAAATATCTACTTCCGGTTTGAAATGTTGGATTTTCCCTTAAAGATAGATAGTAAGTAAGGATTTGTAATATTGTTTTTTAGTCAAATTTACGCTGAAAGTTATGACTGAAGGTATGATGGAGATATATAAGATGTAAAGATAGATAGACAGAGATAAAGATAGGAAAGTAAAAACTGTTCAACTTCAGTGTTTGAATTATATTTTTAGACACTTTCACACCAGAAACATTCCATCTGCAGCTATGATTTTTACCTGATGGGGAGATAACCTGTTGTCCATAAACCTCAACCTCACAGATAGTTAAAATCTCAATAATGTTCAAATGAATTCTCACATATCTGGCTCGACAAAATGAACAAGATATTCCCTCTGTTATATTAATTGGTTCTAGTTGTGTGTAACATGGCGTATAACAGGTAAGACTAGACTCCACACAATCTTGACCACCTTCTATAACAAAATCTCTTAATCTGTGACCTAGAAAATATAAGTTTTGTACAAATAAGATTTACATAAAATTTTGAAAGCAACGATTTCCTTAATTTTTAAAGCTAATACATGTACATAATTTCTTCAGTATTATATTGACAAGATTTTACCTGACGATCTTCAAGAAAAGGCAAATGAAAAAACAGTATGAAATTGGCACTAAAATTTAATTAACAATTACAAAGTACAACAATGTAATACAAAGTAACACATTGCATAATAAAATCAACATTACGAATATTAAAACTTTCAAACCCCAAAAAGTGGATTTTGTTTTTAGAAGGTGGATAGTTTAGATGTAAAAGTATTTAGAACACCCAAGCGGCTAGAGGTATCACAGTCAAGTAACATTCAAAGCAGGAACTTGACCAGTAGCCTAAAGTTTGAATTTGCTTGTCCAAGAGACCAGATTGTTTGGCCCAAGTAGCTGCACCGCGTCTAAAAGAATGTCCACCATACATCATTTGCGGCAAGCCTAGTTGAGTCAGTAGAGGGCGTAGTGCGGGGGCGAGATAACAACAATAGTAAGGCAGCATGGGGAACCATGGTGTGTTCAGTATGCTTTAATGGGTTTTGAGCGAAATCTCAACGTTTTTGTCACTTTCAAAAGAATGACAATACCCCAATCAACTTGTGATATGTCCTTACGCTGAATATTATAAGTGGGATCAAAATGTCCCTTAAAAAAAAAAATTATTTGTTCTTGAAAATCAAAAAAAAAAAAAAACAAAAAAACATGCAGCCCAAAATACAGAATTATTAATCGAAGGAGACAACATATTCTTCATACGAACTAAAATATCAGGAGTAAGGGTTAAATTTGCAAGACTGGGTCGTACCCAAATCGCGCTTAACACCTTTTTAGAAAAAACTTAATTGGTCATTCTATCAAGGGTTCACTAAAACCATTCAAATTGTGCAATTACGGATATAACATTTAAATAAGATATAATCGAACTGTGAGCAAATCTCTTAACATCAACGAAAAATGCGATATAAAGTTCCATAGATATGCTGAGTTACCGGAATCAATTCGTCTACAAAAGACCACCCCTAGCCGCGTAGTCTGAAGACGGTTTGTTCCAGGAAGGAGATACACATCATTAAAAGATTGCTTTTAGAAGAGCCCTTATTAAGGATGCATTTGGTTGTCATATTATCCTCAGCAACTACAACAGTTTTATTTGTCCACTATGGAGCCCATCTTACCACTGACAGGACAATAGCAAGAATTTCTTTCACATTTGTTCCATTGCAAATATCGGTAAGTCAATTGCCCAGTTAACATAAAAATAGTCACTGTGATAGTACCCTCCCCTGCCTGCATCGGGGCGTCAGTTTGCAAAGAGGTAATGGGATTGCGATCCAAGAATTTCACAATTCCGTTAAACACAGTCGAATAATTCACCCACCAAGATATATCCAAATGAAATTCTTCAGATAATTGTAATTTGCAGTTTCTTCCCATTAAGGAAGTAGTCATATCGATCACTATTTAATCATTTGTGTTCTGCAAGAAACTATTAAATTGACTGTCCATGTTCCAAAATGTTTCCTTATATTTTCATAAGTTTAATCTGATCCGTACTTTTTGTAATAACCATGCTTCCGGTCATGGCCTCCAGTGTTGTCATGAGTTCAAATAGTAAAAAGTAAAAAGAAAAAAGTATATAACTAAAAGTGAAATAGAATGAATGTAGTGAATTAGATGCTCTGTAATTTAAACTAAGAAAAGAACCAACTGTATTATCAATCTGTTTTATTAACTCTATAGAATTGGCCAAATTACTAGGGCTTAGACCGGACGGCCTCGTACACTCTCACGATCCACAAAAATTTGAATTCTGACAGAAGTGAACCTGAACTTTGCTAACCACGGGATTGGAGAAATGCTGAAGAAATTTGGATGTTAATCTACTGTGTTTAATGACTGGTAAACTGTATTATATTTGCTAATCTGTATCCTGGTGAAATTTGAGAAAATTCAGTCAGAACTGGCACGTATTGTGTATTTGCTGTGAAACTGGTCACATTTACTGAACTTTTGTTTATCTGTCACATATCCTGTGAAATTTTGACTGATTGAATTTTTGAAAATTAAACATGCCACCAGAGGAACTGAAAACCTTGCTCTTAGAAGCCAAGAAGAAAAGAAGAAACTGTAAAGCTGCTATTACCAGACTAGGGAAAGTACTAGATAGACTGATTAATGAAAAATGGGGAATAGAAGAAATCCAAGAAATACTTTTGAAAATAGACACTGCATTTGATAATCTGGTGGAAACACATACTGCATATACTCAAATGATAGATGAGGAGGATGAATTTGAAACTGCTGAAATTTGGTTGGATGATGTGCAAAACCAGGTCACAACATTAAAAATGTATTCCAAAGATTATGTTTAACACTTAGATGATGAGTTCCAAGCCAAAACCCAGAATGTTGAAATTCCCCAGAGCCCTGATTAAATAAACCTGTCACCCTCTTCATCCCCTATTGATAATTCATTACCTACTGATAACCAGAGGAATTCTGATGTAAATAATATTGTTGATCCTGACAACCACAGTATAGACGATAATCCGAGTACTTCTGCTGTTGTTAATCCGAGTACTTCTGCTGTCAACCCAAGTACTTCTGCTGATGATAATCCGAATCCAAGTACTTCTGTGGATCCGAGAGATTCTGCTGCTGCTAATCTGAGAAATTCTATTGCTGTTAATCTGAGAAATTCTACTGCTGTTAATCCGAGAAATTTTACTGCTGTCAATCCGAATAATTTTGATGCTGATATTCTGAGTACCGAGAATATGAATGGTCTTACTGCTTCAATAGCCTGAATAGTAATTCTGTCAGCGGAAACCCTACACAATCTACCGATGTTTGTCAATTTAAAATAGAGAAACCGAAGATGCCAAAGTTTAGTGGAGATGTTCGTGAATATTATACTTTTAAGTCAGACTTTTTGCATATGGTTTCATCAAGATATAGGAAACGAGATGCTGTAACTTTACTGCGTTCCTGTTTGGTAAATAAGCCATTAGAATTGATAAGTGGTATGGGTTCTGATTATGATGCAGCCGTTGAATACCTAGACTCAATGTATGGAGATCCAAGATTTATTGCTGATTGTATTACCCAAGATTTAATGTTTTCGTCCACTAAGAGATGGTGAAGATGCACGTTTTTGTGAATTAGTTCATGTTGTCCGAAGAAGTTATAACTTAAAGAAATAGGCAGACCTAATGATATGAACAATAATCACATGTTAGCTTTAATTGAACAGAAGATGAACACGGAAGACAAAAAAGTTTGGTTCAGATATCTTGAAAACGACAAAAATACTGCTGTTTTAGAAGATTTATTAGAATGGATGAAGGCTGAAATGAAGTCTCGTATTGTGATACTGCTCCTTTAAGATCATCTGGTCAACACTCAAGATTCAACATACATCATGGTAATTTTGATGATAGACCTGCTGAAACCAATTGATATAAATGTTGGCTTTGTAAAAGCAATGATCACTGGTTAGACCAATGTCGTAATTTCCTGTCCAGATCTGTATCTGATCGTATTAAAACTCTGAAAGATAATCATGCCTGTTTGCGCTGTTTGAAAATTGCTGGTAAAAATCATGTGTAATGAACTGTTCGAGAAGACGCCAATGTACTGAACTCTATAATGGGAGTCGCTGTAAACTGTTTCATAATAAATTACTTCATCCTACTAATAGAACAACAAGCCCTGAACACCACAGTGTAGGAATTGCATCAATGCTGAATAGTAGAGAAACTATTTTACCTGTAATAACTGTTGATATTTATGGTAAATGTAATACTGTTAGAGGAAATACCCTGTTAGACTCTGGTGCCCAGCTTAGCTTAATGAGAAAATCAATGGCCGAACAACTTCAATTAGAAGGCAAAGATATAAGTATTGTTATGACAAAAATTGGTGGAGATTCTGAAGAACTTAGAACCAAGCTGTATAAATTTAGAATAGTTTCAATGGATACTGGTAGATCTTTTCAAATTACTGCTTTAGGCATTCCGTGTATTCGTGAAGATATTGAAGAAATTAGATTATTTGAAGTAGCTAAAGTTTTTAATTTACCTGTTAGATGTTTACATAGAGGTTACGGTTCTCTTGATCTACTCATAGGCATAGATCATTTTTTTTGCATACATGGGATATAAGACAATATAACAATCTGATAGCAAGACATTCACCTTTGGGATGGATTATATTTGGTGTGACGTCTGGATATCGAACTCAAGATCATCGTGTGTATCATGTCGGATTGTCGGGTCCAGTAGATATGGCTGACTTTTGGACTACAGAAGCAATGGGTGTTGCTTCAGGTTCCTGTTGCTGCCAAGAAAGTGGTCTCAGTCCCATAGAAATTAAAGAATCTAAGATAATTGAGAAATCCTGTAAGAAGATTGGTAATCAATGGTTAATACCTTACCCTTGGAGAAAAGACCCTAATTTACTTCCTGATAATAGAATACAAGCTGAAAATAAATTGAAATCAACTGAATGTCGACTGCTGAAATATCCTGTACATGCTGAAATTTATAATGGTCAAATTGAAGAAATGGTGGATATGAAATTCGCTAGAAAACTTACAGATTCAGAAATTACTGAACACCAAGGCCCTGTTCATTATATTTCCCATCATGAAGTTATAAAACCAGAGAAGAAAAGTACACCTGTAAGAATAGTATTTAACTCGTCTGCTAGTTTTAATGGTCACTGTTTGAATGATTACTGGTATAAAGGTCCGGATCTTCTCAACAATTTATTTGGAGTTATACCGAGATTTAGAGAAAATGAAGTGGTTATTTGTGGGGATATTTCCAAGATGTATCACAGAGTACTGATTTCTGTAGAAGATCAACATGTTCATAGGTTCCTGTGGAGAAATCTCAATGTTGAAAAACCTCCAGATTTCTATGTCAAAACTGTATTGACATTTGATGATAAGCCAGCACCTGCTATGGCTCAGATGGCTTTAAAGAAAACTGCTGAAGAAGTAAAATCTAATTTACCTGAAGCTGCTAAAGTATTAGAAAATGATGTTTATATGGATGATATATGTACTTCAGTTAAAACTGTAAATGAAGCTAGTAAACTGACTATTGATATTGACTCTGTACTGGCTAATGGTGGATTTAAAGTGAAAGGATGGATATCTAATAAAGTATTAAACTGCTTACCTGTTCCTGAAAATATTTGAAACTGTTGACTGATATAAATGAAGAAAAGGTTTCAGGAATCGTCTGGAATAATACTAGAGACACTTTTTCATATAATGTCAAGATTGAATTTGCTAATAAATCTAATGTTTCTGTTTGTTTGACAAAAAGAAGAATTTTGAGTCAAATTGCTAGATTATTTGATCCAATTGGTTTTGCTGCTGCATTTTTGGTACGACTGAAGATTGGAATGCAGAAACTGTGGCAACTTGGTTTAGAATGGGATCAAACCTTACCTGAAAATTTGCAATCTGAATGGTTAAATTTGTTTGCTGAATTGAACAGTTTAAATGGTATAGAATTTGAAAGATGCTTGACACCTCCAGAAGTTGTTAACTTACCTGAACTATGCATATTTTCTGATGCATCTGAAGAAGCTTTTGGTACCTGTGCTTACCTGAGACGGAAAACAAACTCTGATGAATACTATGTTAGATTTATTGCTGCTAAATCTAGAGTAGCACCGTTGAAGAAACTTACAATTCCTCGTTTAGAACTAGAAGCTTAGAAGGTGCTGTACCTTCGTCTACTCGTCTTTATAAAACTATTATGGAAGAAACACGACTGAAATTTGAGAAAACTATTTTCCTGACAGATAGTATGATAGTTCTTGCCTGGATAAAAAGCCAAGCCAGAAAATACAAACCTTTTGTCTCATCTCGAATTGGTGAAATACAGAATACAACTGAACCTGCTCAATGGTATCATATTCGTTCACAGGATAATGTAGCTGATGATATTTCACGTGGTATACCTGCTAGTCAATTAACTGAAAGTTGGAAAAATGGTCCAAGTTTTTTATTAGAAGAAGAAGAAAATCTGCCTATTAACACTGTTAAAGTAGCTGATACTGATATGGAAATGGAAATTCGTAAATCTGTGAGTGCTGTAACTGTTAATGAAGATATTATAAACTGTAATAACTATTCTACGTGGAACAAACTGATACGAGTAACTGCTTATGTTTTAAGATTCATATGGAATTTATCTGCTAAAAGAAGAAATGCTGTTAAAAGAAAAGAAGTTTTATCTGCTGAAGAATTGGTTAACTCTGAAACTTACTGGATTAAGCGCGCGCAACTTAGTTTATATAATCGTCAACAAAAGGGAGACTTTAAAACTTTAAGCCCATTTACAGATGAAGATGGAATTTTACGCGTTGGAGGTAGATTGAATGATGCTTTTGTCTCCTACGATTCTAAACACCCTGCTTTGCTGCCCAATGATCATCGAATATCTTTATTGATAACTCGTCAGACACACAATAATGGTCACCTAGGAATTGCTGCTACTGCTGCTAAAATAAGAAGAAAATATTGGATACTGAAAGTTCATAAACTGACTATAAGACTGTAAAATATAAATGTGTTGTGTGTAAAGAATTTGAACACAAAGTTGAAAATCAATTTTTGATGGAATTGCCCAAAATTCGTTTAGCCCCATTTACGCCGCCTTTTTATTACACTGCTGTTGATTATTTCGGTCCTTACAATGTCAAAATTGGTAGAAACAAAACTGCTAAACATTATAGTATATTATTTGCATGTTTGAACACTGGATCTGTTCATTTGGAACTTGCTGTTGATTATTCGACCATGGAGTTTATACAAGTTTAAGAAGATTTTTCAGTATACGTGGGACTCCTTCTTTAATGTTAAGTGATAATGGTTCACAACTTGTTCGTGCTGAAAAAGAACTGAGACAAATGATCAAAGGATATGATGAAGAAACTTTAAAAGACTTTTGTGCTGAAAATCGAATGACGTGGAAATTTACTACTCCTGCTGCTCCACATCAAAATGGTTGCGCTGAATCTATGGTTAAAGTCTGCAAAACTGCTCTGAAGAAATCTGTTGGTGAACAATTATTGACTTCCTTTGAACTATATACTTACCTACTCGAATGTGCTAATCTCGTCAATCAACGTCCAATAGGAAGAATACCCAATGATCCTGATGATGGTTCTTATATATGTCCTAATGATATTCTGTTAGGTCATGCGTCAAGTCATGTACCACAAGGACCTTTTCGTGAGACTAAAAATCCTAGACATCGTGTGGAATTTGTTCGGAAATTATTTGTCTCTTTTTGGAAACAATGGAATAGAGATGTTTTGCCACTATTGGTACCGCGTAAAAAATGGAACACTGAAAAACGTAATGTTTGTGTAAATGACATTGTTATAATTCAAAATCAAAATGCCATCCGTGGAAAATGGACTTTAGGAAGAATATTAAAAGTTTACCCCCGAGCTGAAAATCGTGTGAGAAACGTTAAAGTTAAAACCAAAGACTCTGAATATAATAGACCTGTTACTAAAATTTGTGTCATTTTGCCTGCAACTGAAGAATCTGATTTGGATGAGGACTAACGCCTCATCGGCGGGGAGAATGTTCTGCAAGAGACTATTGAATTGACTGTCCATGTTCCAAAATGTTTCCTTATATTTTCATAAGTTTAATCTGATCCGTACTTTTTGTAATAACCATGCTTCCGGTCATGGCCTCCAGTGTTGTCATGAATTCAAATAGTAAAAAGTAAAAAGTATATAACTAAAAGTGAAATAGAATGAATGTAGTGAATTAGATGCTCTGTAATTTAAACTAAGAAAAGAACCAGCTGTATTATCAATCTGTTTTATTAACTCTATAGAATTGGCCAAATACCAGGGGCCGGACGGCTTCATGCACTCTCACGATCCAATTTGACATACCCGGTTGAGCTTTCCACATGGTCATTGAACTGGCGCATTTACGCTCTTTAAAATTCAATAGTACTGTGAAAAATTCCAACTGTTTCGCATGTGGCATTGACAAAGTCAGTTCACGAGTGTCGATGGTAATGTTAAAGCCCAATTACCCTTAAAGTTTTGAGTAATAACGTTAGTCCTCTGTCACAAAATGCCAATGAGTTTTCGAAATCATCCAAGTACGCAATACAAGTAACGTTGTATCTAAATTTCATAATAAAGCATACTGCAGCATTGAGCTTTTGAAAAATCTTTGGGCTTCGCGCATGCCCAATGGGTAATTTGGCATCATACAGATATACAGGCTCTTTGGTTCCGGTAAAAATCCATTTAAGTCTAGTTAAAGAATATTCAGAAGGGTGACATCGTACTGCATGGGCGATATGCACTTTTGAGGTCCACTTTGGCTAAAAAACAGTTCGGAGTTATAATTTTAAGAGCATACTTTAGATCCATGTATGAGCAGTTGATATCAGGTGAGCGAGTTTATTGAATTCCCCGTTGGTTGGCTCGCTTCGTATGAGACGCACATCACCGTTTGGTTACGGTATGGCCCCCAGCGAACTTATTATTGTAGGTTTTTCCAACACGGGCACATAATTACCCACAGACAGCTCAAAAAGTATCTGTTTTTCGACTTTGGCACGTGAATGTAGAGTTGTAATTATCCCTATCAACAGGTACATGTGGGCCATACTGAGTAGTTAAGTGAAAACATTAAATAAAATTAATAACTATATGATAATGGCTTCGGATATTTATTCTAATCTTGAGGAAGTGATAAATTTCAAATGATAAAAATATCAAATTTAAACTTTAAGAATTTATGGGGGTTCTCATTTTGTTAAATATATTCAATGTCCAACTTAGAACCCCTGGAAAGACGCATCTGTGCCTTCAATCTTAACTTTATTTGATATGCACGTCTTCTTCTACAGCCGAACTTAACTTTTTTCGGTTTGCATCTAGTCACAATTGAATTTGCACTATTTAATAGTGTAAAATTCGAGGCTCGTAGATTAATTTATTCATTCAATAAATACAAAATAACATTATTGAAGATAAATTACACGGAAACTCATGCTTACTTTAACAATCAACAAGCAAGTCTTCATTCTAGACACAGTAGACGAATATCTAAACGTATTTTTGAATGAAAGAAAAGACATGGAAAGAAATCGAAAGGCGTTTGTGTGCATTAAGAAGTTTCAACAAAGGTGATTCTAATCAGTGAAACTAAACCTGTCTGAACAATCTAAAGATGAAGTCCTGAAGTTGAAGTTATCCTGGATGAATGCACCTTCACTGTCAAACATAATTATCAGTTTTACTTCTTCCCACTCATTTTCAAAGTTCTGTGTAGTGATACATTCAGTTGAGTCTCGATGATCATGATGGGGCATTTTATCAGTTACCTCGTCCATCTCTATGTCTTACTAAGAGAAACTACTGAAAATGTCTTCCATAATGTTATTTCGTAGATTTGAAAAATTACTTATCTACCAGCGTTGAATTTTACATTATTTCATATGCATGCGTGATTGGATTCAAACCGCAAAAGTACTAATTGCAAACAAAGGTACACCATACTTTTGGTACAAAACCAATACTTTGTTAAATTCAATAATATAGAAAGAATTGTGCATACCAAGATTAAGTCCAAGCGTCATCAAGGTGATCCCACTTTTTATACGCCCACATTAATTTGGGTGTATATAGCCGTCATCCTTGTTCGTCCGTCCGTCCGAACACAATTGTAATGGACACGATAGAGAGATGGTTTCACGATGGATTTTGACGAAACTTGTGAGTGTTCGTTATCACCCAAAGATGAACCCTATTGAAATCACACGAATATTGAATAAGTTTTTGCCCTTGTTTGTAAAAATTTGTTGTAGATATGGATTTTGATAAAATTTGGTGTGAATCTATGTTATCACTTAAGGATGAACCCCATTGAAAATCAGACAAATCGAAAAATAGTTATTTTCCCTTGCTCTTGAAAACGCGTTCAATTTTTAGCTTGTAAAAGCTCTAGAAGGCACAATTCCTGACGGATTTTAACGAAACGTGGTGAATTGTTTGTTATTTTCCAATGATGTACCTTCAAAAAATCTAAAAAGTATTCAATATGAGTTATTGCCCTTGTTCTTGAAATCACTTTCAAGACACAATTCTCGACAGATTTGAAAGAAAGTTGGTGGAATCACCCGAAACTTATTAAAAAGCAGAAAATCAAAAAAATATTTAATATGGGCTATTGCCCTTGTTCTTAAAAATATGTTCAATCTTTAGCTCGTAAAACTCCAGAAAACAAAATTCTGGATTGATTAAGACGAAACATGTTTAACATCAAAAGAAAGCTTGTGCAGTATGAAAATTTTACTCTCGAAATATTTCATTTATTGATATATAGCTAACCGCCCGGATGACTTTGCCTGTTATTACAATGGTGGTCTTATCTTTATAAAATTCAGAAAGACGTTACAATCACTATATAAACTAGATAAAAAATAAAGAAAGGCTGTAAGGTGTTCTGCCACGACGGTCGATGACAATGCGGATTATCTGGATACAATGGTCGTTGCATTGCATAATATCGACAGGCGTTTTAAATTGGATGATAAGAATTTGGACATAGAAATGCCAGCAGATTTCAACCAAAAAAGAAAGCACGGAAAAGAATGTGAATTATGACAGACACGCAAAGTTATTGTTGTCCTATCAATATTTTAGTTTAAAAAAGTATCAATCAATTTTTTCCATTGATCACACTTATTGGAAGTGAAATTGTTAAGCATTCATTGTTTGATTTATTGTTGGGTTTTCATGCATATCAAACTGAATAAGCGGAAAGTTCGAAATCAGGCGGAGCTCCACAAATCTGATTTAGTGTTAAGTATGAGCGCAGCATACGGCCCTAAAGAATTAAAAGAAATTGTTTCGTGATTTGGAACTAACGTAACGAGCAAAACGCGTTTAGGATTTCATAAAAAATATCGATGAGATATTTTAGGTCATTTAGTTCATTCAAATTGATCGATTAAAATTTTAGTTCATTCAAATTGATTGATTAAAATACACTTACATTCTTATTTCACTAATTCTAATTTACTTTTGGAGACAAAAACGTCTACATTTCAACCCTTTACTTTGAGGGATTTAGACTGCGTCATATCCGACGATGAGTGTGCCCTTTTTTGGACCAAATTACTTAACTTGGATTGCACTTGGTTATTGTATAAATATATATATTCAGTATATGGCCATATTTCAATACATTAACCATAATATGACAAGGTCCTGACTTCACAGAAGAGGAATTCCTAAAATAGTACACAGGCAAGAGTTAAAACATATATAGATGTTTAGGTCCCCAAATGTAATATTGGAATTAGTGAAATGCGGGTATACGTGTAAATTTAGCAACGTAATAATGTTCCTGTAGCATCGGTAAGCTTACATAATTGATGAAGCATTTAATGAAAAAAAATTCAAAAAACCTTTTAATTTCCTTAAATAATTGATGTTCATTTCCAATCAATAATATAAAATAGATTGCATAAGTTAGTTAATTGATATACAATTGAAATCGAAACGTGAATAAAAACAAAGATAGCAACAGGTATCAGGTTTAATATAAGAAACCTGGTCAATAAATCGTTAAATGTGTATATTGTGTTTATTTATACAGTTTTTCACCATTTATTAATAATTTAGACACTTGTCAGATAATTGAAAAGGTCTGATTTCATCAGTAAATGAAGGGGAATGCTTCATAAATACATAATACTCGATGCACAAAAAGACATGGGGCACGCAGTACAGAAATTTCAATATGAAAACAAATTGAAAATAAACTAGTGTCCAAAAGAAACGAAACCAACTTATTTTCAAAATTGTTTTTTACTAAGTGAATTGTCTAATATGAAAACATGCCAATTCGTATTGCACATCCCAAACACAGCATAGTCGATAAAAATACCGGGAACACGTGATCACTTCCGGGAAAAAACGTAAATTTCGTGAAAGTGACATTTCCCTCTCTAGCATGTTCTGCATGTGCATAAAAACTGTATAAAACGGCTGATCAGACACGTTGATATCACAGCAACAAAAAGAACACAAGATATGCCACGTTTGACAGCCATCGAGAGAGAGAGAGCCGTTGGAATGGTCCAACAAGGTGCGACACACGTCGACTTCGCCAGAAGGTTGGGCTGCGCACGCATCACTATCACCAGGTTGATGCAGCGGTTACGTCAGACAGGTCAGACGTCAGACAGGCCCAAGAGTGGAAGACCACGAGTAACCACGCCCCGTGAAGATCGTTACATCTGGGTATTACACCCGAGGAACTGCACCGTAACAGCGACGTCCACGGCGGCTACAGCACTGGGACACAGGATCAGTCGACAGACCATCTACAGGAGACTACGGCAGTATGGTATCTGGCCACGTCATCCCTACCGCGGACCGCTCCTGACGCCTCGACACCGGAACAACAGACTGATCTGGGCCAGGCGAGTTCGACGTTTTCAACGGCGGGACTGGGCACGTGTTATGTTCTCTGATGAGAGCAGATTCCTCATCTTCAAAAACGATGGACGGCAGCTTGTATACCAACGATTTGGTGAACGTTTGGCGCCTAACTGTATCCAACAGGTCCGGCCGTTTGGAGGTTGAGGGTTAATGATTTGGGGTGGCATATGTGGTGACGTCAAAACGAGGCTTGTCGTAATTCGTGGAAACCTGAATGCACAGCGTTATATTGATGACATCCTACGGCCTGTTGTGGTGCCCTATATTCAGCAACAGCCTCGTTGACTCCTTTTCCAACATGACAATGCAAGGCCACACACGCAAGATTGACACAGAACTTCCTTGCCAACGCCAACGTACAGGTTTTGCCATGGCCCGCATGTTCACCGGACATGAATCCCATCGAGCACTTATGGGACCACCTCGATCGGCAAATCCGACGTCGCTGTGTGCCTCCAGTCAACGTCCAGGACTTGGAACGATGTCTCCTCGAGGAATGGCAACGCATCACTCCCAACGTCATCAGACGTTTGACGGCATCATTCCGTAGGCGTGTTCTGGCATGTATTGATGCTCACGGTGGACATACCCGCTACTGACTTGACTTTGTGACGTGTGGTGTGACATTTCCCGTTGTTTCTGTGATCAGTGCTCTAACGAAATGTTCTTTTTTCGACCCCACCCATCTTTAAAGGCTTGTCATATTGGTTGTACAGATTTTATTGAAATGAAATTTTTGTACAGATGTTGTGAAAGGATTTCTCAAAAGCATAACACCAATCCTAAACTTCTGCATTGTTTAGTTTTTCTTTTATGTCGTTGCAAACAGGTGGTATCGTTTCTTTTGGACACTAGTTTATTTTTCAAAACAGAACACAATTTTGCGGTATACTACTCCTTTTTTGTGTGTACATAACGTTTCAATAATCTTCATTGTCATCATCTGATGAAAACACATGAGTAGTATTCGATAACATTGTATACCGTAATTCAAAACAGCAGTTAATTCTATATTCTATGATATCACTTATACAATAGCTTTCAACAGCAGTCAGTTATGTTATATTGTATCGGGTATTCAAAAAATAAAAACGTCCCAAGGCTTGACAGGAAGGCTAGTATCCCAGCTGGTAAACTAAACTTTTTCAAAATTTTTGCAGATTAAAGCCTGTACTTCAAGATGTTGTTGAACTTTGGGATTAGTTTTTTGAGACACCCGATATGTAACATCAATGATAACATCATAAATTCATTTACCACAACAATATATTCTGTTATAATATATACTATGATACCAGTTATATAATACATTACAACCACTGTCAAATGTTATAAGATATTTTGTCAGGCAATGTTATATACGCCCACTAGCAGATTTTAAGAAAGATTAATTTGGAAGTGCAATAATAATCTTCAGTATGAAATATTCAACCTTAAGTTATACATTTCTTTCGAACTTTTTTCTTGGGTGATAAACAACATAACCTTTACTAAATTTTGAGTGTAGAGTATTTACGAGCGAAAATATTGAACGCTTTCAACAAACAAGGGCCATAACTCATATTAAACATATTGTCGGTTTTTTTTATTTTCAAGAGTCTTCATCATCAAATTATTTCACCAAGTTTCGTCTTAATCGTTGAAGAATTGCCTAGTGTTTAAGAGCTAAACAGTGAACGCGTTTTTAAGAACAAAGGCAATAACTCATTCGATATATATCCTTGGCTGATCATAAAAAATTTCACCAAGTATCGTTAAAGTCCGTGATTTTCAAAAGGGTTCATCCATTGGTGATAATAAAAACATACACCAAGAATCGTTTATGAGCAATTGTGGACAGAAAAAAATCAGTTTTACTAATACTTACCACATAAGTTCATTCTGTTATATATTTTAATATCTAATTATAATACAATATGTTACCACAAAAGTTAATTAACATTATGATTATAATTATACAATGACTTACCAAATAGTCAATTCTGCTGTTCCTATTATTATATTTATAAAATCACTTACCACAAAAGTCAATTCTGTTATACATTTTAGTATTTATTAAAATTATGCAATAACAGACACTACTGTTATAAATTATGATATTAGTTGTAGTTATCATATATTAACGTATACATTATTATATAACTTATAATTATCAAATTCTATATTATTATATAAATTATATCATAGAAAAACTTACCACAGCAGTCAATTCTGTTGTATATTATAATATCAGTAATATCATACACGGAACCTAAATCTACCTCCCACCATTCAGATACATTCCTTGAATATTGGTATGTATGGGAACAAGAATCTTCCTGAAAGTACCCAGAAGTGTTTCCATCGACGGCCTTTCCAGCTGTATACTCTAAATAATTACTGCTTTGAATTGCTGTTTTACCAAGTGCCAGATTTGAACCATTCGGTGTATTTGCTGAAATCAATAAGATGATGTTCATGCATAACACCAAAAATAGGTATAATATACCATGGAAGCCTACTGCGGTCATATCACCTTCGACCTCTCGCCCATAAAATTTGTATTCTTTTAAGCCAAATCGACTTAAAGCTAGATTCTCAATCGACTACCAATAATGTGAACGGACATTGTTGCCAATATAAATCAGCAAAGTACGGTATGCAAGAAACAATAGCAAAACTCATTATTTTAAAGGAATACAAGTTACTTTTGATTTAACTTATTTCGAAAACAATTTCGTACGATTATTTTTTTCAATTTTTGAATAATTATTCGGGGAAGGTAGGGTTGGGTTTTTTATTTATTATTTACTTTTATCTTTAATTTAGCCAAAATTAGACCAAACTTTAGTTTCGTTTTTTATCAACTTTTATTTATAATTAACCACTTTTTAAGACAGGCATCTTGGATATTCGTCAGTTTGAAGATGCCACCAGCTAATCAAATGTATGCTCACTAATGCCCCTCGCGAAACACCTTTTATTCGCGGCACAAAAATCCCAGCCACAGGAAACACAAAAGCACTTCCAAAATCTTTTTCTCAGAATTTGGTCACGGAACATTCAGACTGTTCTTCTACTAATCTGTGAATGTTTCGGAAATAGATTAAGAAAATTCTCTTTTCAGATTGAATTTTAAAAAAAACTTAATGCATGCGATTAACGTAGCAGATCTCCTTAAAGCTATGATTAAATGTGCAAATAAGTGTAACTCAAACTCAAACTCAAAACGTGATTACATGTGTCCGTGCTTAATTCCGCAAAGCCGCCAATGTTTAAGGAAACCGAGTGGTATTGTTTTAGTAAACACAGGAGGAGAGGAAAGTGAATAATAAACCAGGTGTTGAGTTTGGGACACATGTAAGCTAAAGATAAGGATTTGGATACAATTTGCTTTGGTCCGTTTTTTTATTGGTGTTGCGCTTGAGTTTGCGTAAACATGTAATTGCAGCTTTACTCTTTCCACTTCGACTGCGCAATTTCTTTCTATTTGTAGCTGATGATGATTTTTTTTGTAATATATCTTACCTGATACTTTACTGATAATCACAAGCAATACAAGCAAATTCAAAACACTTTGTATATTTGGTGCCATCCTGAATAAAGTCCACAATGTTTTTACTTGAAAAATCCAAACCTCATTGCTCACGGCAGTATAAAATGCAAATAAGCGCATTAATTCACTAAATACAGACTGCCAAACTGGAAGTTCATTGATATTTTACCCTCCCCTCTATTTAGCGCAAGCAGGCCTACTAGACTTTAAGCTTCTACAATTCGACACCTGCAATCCTATTAAATTTCCCTTTATGATATTACCACTCATTTTACGATGCTGTTATGCTCTTTCGCACGTAAAAAGATAAGTTACTTGAAGCAACCTGTTATCTTTTATTGATCTTTCGTGTAAATAATTATCACGAATAATTGCTAATAATTAATGACTTATCAAAGAATTGGCTACAATAGGCCTATCGCATTCCTGGTAAAAAAAGGAAATAAATGGCATCAAAGATCAATCAATGATGTATGTGTGGTGTGTGTGTAAAATTGGATGTCTGTGATTGCTAATGGATACCTGACCTTTCTACGATTAAATGGATATTTCTTTTTTTTTTTTTTAAATCAATATTTATTTCTAATGTTCAGTCTAATATACAACAATGATCAAGCGATCTGGAAACAAATCCATTTCTTGGTGAATCTGACGAAAATTTCAGGCCTATATATATATATCGTATACATGTCGTCTAAATACCATTAATGCCATTGTACCTGAAAGTATGTTAATATTGTCATATACGCCGTTCCGTTTTGTAAATTAATCGAATAACGAATAGATCGGACTGTTGTCATTTAATATAACAAATATCTAATTTCATTTTAAAATCATCTCTCCAACGCGCACAATAGCTGGCTTTATCCTGTGGTTTCACACCCAGGTCTCAGTGAGCTACAAAATGCTTACTCGCCAACCATAAATTCTGGTCCAGAACAATTTACACCATGGTTGATAAAGAAATAGTGTATTGTCGAGCAAGAACATGGTCTTGTGGGATGTTCTACAATTCTTCAAAACTGTGCATTAATGCGTTAATCATTTAGATGTTTGATCATTGTGCGGGTTGATATCACCACGGAACTCCATGTACTCTTTAGCTGCAAGTATGCTGTACCTGCTTTCCAAATTCTTTATCTGACGTCTGCGTCCGTGCCATCATTCTTTTTTTTTAAATCCATATTTATTTCTTATGTTCAGTCTAATATACAACAATCTGGAAACAAATGTTAGATAGATAGATAGATGGATAGATAGTCCAGGTTCGACCTCACCCCCATAACCCTATACGCTTCCGGACTTCATAGCGACAGCCCCTCCTGTTGCCGCATAAAGACTTAACCACTAAAGAGTGACTACAATAAGTGGGACTTTGGGTTTATAAGGTTACATGGACTTATCAAATACACTTGGATATGGATAATGCAATGAAAACAGTTGTTGCTGAAAAGAATTCATCTGAACCACATTAAGAACAGCCCGTATAGGATATGAAAATAACTCAACTAAACCAGTATAAGAAAAACCAGTATAAGAACAATCAGAATAGGATATGAAAATAACTCAACCAAACCAGTACAGGAATACCACTATAAGAACAACCAGTATAGGATATGAAAATAACTCAACTAAACTAGTATTAGTACATCCAGTATAGGAACAACCAGTATAAGTACAACCAGTATAGGATATGAAAATAACTCAACCAAACCAGTATAAGAACAGCCAGTATAGGAATACCACTATAAGAACAATCAGTATAGGATGTAAAATTAACTCAACTAAACTAGTATCAGTACATCCAGTATAGGAACAATCAGTATAAGAACAACCAGTATAGGATATGAAAATAACTCAACCAAACCAGTACAAGAACAGTCAGTATAGGAACACCAGTATAAGAACAACCAGTATAAGATGTAAAAATAACTCAACTAAACCAATATTTGAACAGCCAGTATAGGAACACCAGTATAAAAACAACCAGTATAGGATATGAAAATAACTCAACTAAACCAGTATTAGAACAACCAGTTATAAGATATAAAACAACTCAACTAAACCAGTATAAGAACACTAGTATAGGATATGAAAATAACTCAACTAAACCACATTAAGAACAGCCAGTTATAAGATGTGAAATTAACTCAACCAAACCAGTATAAGAAAACCAGTATAGGATATGAAAATAACTCAACCAAACCAATATAAGAACAGCCAGTATAGGATATGAAAATAACTCAACTAACCCAGTATAAGAACAACCAGTTATAAGATATGAAAATAACTCAATTACACCAGTAGAAGATATGAAAATAACTCAGCTAAATCAGTATAAGAACAACCACTATAGGATATGAAAAATGTCTCTACAAAAGCATGTTTGCGGGTGTATTAAAAATTAAGTGTAGAGTATGAAGACAATCAGGAGACAAGCAGGAGACTATATGTTCCATGTTACATAGATATACAAGAAGTTCTTAGATCTTAAACTTTTGTGTCAATGAAATATATTCACAAACATTATTGAAAATGGTATCGTTTAAAATATCGTCAGAATCTGGGTCACCAAAGAGTATGATCTTGATATCAATCTTATTATTTGGAAGGGAGTTTATGGTTGTTTGTCTTTCAAATGTAAATTTTGGACAGATTAAGAAATAGTGGTACGAATCTTCTATGGAATTTCCACATAAACACGAAGGATCGTTAGAAAGGTGCATTAGAAATCTGTGAAACTTCAGTTCGCTTTTCATGTTGCGTAGACGACAGAGAAGGATTTGAAGGTGTCTACTAACAAGGTTAAAATAAACAAAATTCATTAGATGCTGTTACATGCGCTTCTACCAGTCTTGATGCTTTTCAAATATATGCTAAAACAACGATTATTAAATTGCACCTAGTTACTTTTGGGCTGGTGAAAGACACAATAACATTTTACTTACAAGAATAAGACATGGTTGCAGTTACTTAAAATCTGATCTTTTTAAAATAAATGTAGTTCACGACCAGTCTCGTTTATGTGGTTGTGATATTGAAGACGCTTATCATTACTTTTAAGTACAAATTTAAATAGGAGAGAGAGCAATTATTGAGCAAATCGCCTCCTGGTTTTAATATTGATTTAGATACAGTTCTTTGGGGTGATCCTAATTTTTCTCATTCCTTAATTTGGAGTTGTTTTTATTAATATTAAAATTTATCAAAGATACTAAATGTTTGTGTTTTCCCAGTTAAACTGGTATTACTTCTTAATTGACTTACCGTTAATTCATTTTTCTCACCCTGCGAAATTTATTTATCTTCTGTGTTTTGTTTCTGTTCTATGCACCTTTTCTTATTAAATTTCATTGTAAATATTTTGTCAGTCCATCTAAATTTATAAACGTATATAATTCTTTTTTGGAAAGGGCTTAACTAAGTTTGTGTCACCCTCCTTCCCCCCTAAAATAATACAACTCATTTGAAGGAATAATGTCAATTTATTACATAATTGACGTTCAAGAATAACAACGTACCTAACCTAACACATGTGTAGGGGCTTAATAAAACATGCCACCAAACACATTTGAGATTCCAAAGAACTCAAATGACTTGCCCCACACAAGAGAATCCCTCAAATGAGCCGATATACCATTAATAAAAGCTAACACTTATAATCTAAAATTGACATAGTAATGTAAGCAATTTACTGCAAGTATAGAAAACATAAATTAGAAGACATATGTAACTTGTGTCAAATTCCTATTGATATTTTTTGTCAATAAAATATGTTTAAATAAAGGTTATAATAATATGGAATGATGAGATCTTCTGGAACGCCGAACTTTCAGTGTGGTTAAACCAGATTCCTTATAAATATAATTGTGGGATGTGCCACGAACTAAACCGGTTTTTGTCCTTAGAGCATCAAGATGTAAATTTTCAAGAATATTGCAATTTTCCTCGGAACAGTTATCCCACACAACATCGGCATAATCAAAACTTGGAAGAATAAAAGGATTTATAGATTGTTTCAAGAGATGAGCGTGATAGTCTGTATTTAAAAGATCTGAAGAAGTCTACTTGCTTTCGAATTTTCTTAACCATGGAATTGATGTGTGAGGACCAGTAACCCGTGGAGTCAAAATATAAACCAAGATGTTTGTGAGATTTTACATCTGATAGGAATGAGTTTTGAAATGCATTTTCAAAAAGGAAAAAAAGGAAAAATTGAAAGGAGGATGGAACTTTTTTCCTGCTGAAAGTTATGGATTGTGTTTCTAAGGAATTAAATGTTACCTTCCAGTTTTCTGCCCACTGACCAATAACGTGTAAGTTAAGCTGCCTTAGCTTTATTCGTCTGAACGCAGTATAAGTCTTTGTCCATTATTTGCTTGCATGCAACTGGATTCTTAATTACAAGGATGTATCGTCTGCAAATAACTGAATATTAGAATGAATATCATTTACAATGTCATTTATATAAATAAGGAATAGAAGGGGGGCAAGAACCGATCCTTGTGGATCTCCAGAAGAAACAGGGAGAGGCGTGGACAGTGAGTTGTGTGCTTTCACATACTGATATCTATTGGATAAGTAATTTTTGATGAGTTTTAGCAGGTTTCCTCTAATTCCAACTTATGTATCAGACCATCATGCCACACTCTATCAAATGCCTTTGTGATGTCACAGAATACAGATTTAACTTCTTTACCTTCATCAAGAGATTTACAGATGTAATCGTAGAAATATGTAAGCTGATAGATAGAGTCTCCGTGTCGAAATCCTGATTGTCTGTTAGAAAGAGTGTTGTTTTCTATGAGAAAATTATTAATATGTTTATATATACATTTTTCAAAAACTTTACCTAGAATGGATAGTAATGAAAGTGGTCTGTAAGTTTTACATATATGGCTGTCATCAGATTTGAAAAGTGGAATTATATTCTTGTCAACTTTCCATGGATGTATATGCCTTAACTTCTTCCAACTGCATCCATGCAATGTGATTGGGTCCCCACTTATCGTGTAGATCTTAAGGATCTTGGTCTTGAC